CCCGCGTCTCCTGCATCGGCAGGCGGACTCTCAAGCACTGCGCCACCAGGGAAGCCCTGTAAGTTCACTTTTGATGAGGCTTACCCAGTGTGTCTTTTTCTCCCCTCCCCAATTATTAGGTAACCAATGGACAAGGGGAAAATAAGATGAAAAATTTACCTGTACCTGTCTATCTCAGACCTCTAGATGAAAAAGATACATCAATGAAGGTAAATTAATTTTGAAGTTAATGGTAATATTGCTTAAAATCTTGGTGGATTTTTTCCTAAAACCAAAAAAGTTTAAATTCTACTTTCGTGGGCAAGGTTATTGTTCATTTTGTAGTTTTAGACTGGAATACTTTGAATATTTTTAGAGCCCTCTGTTTGTAATCATTAGATCTTTTAAAGAAATGTGAAAAGTTGTAAACATTTTTAGAGAGAAAGTGACTTAATACCATCTTTTTTTAACCCAAAAAAGCTGTGGTGTGCTGTTGGAGTCAGTTTGTCAGGTGGGAAGACCAGAGACGGTGGCTCTGTGGTTGGAGCGAGTGTCTTTTACAAGGATGTTGCTGGTTTGGATGCAGAAGGCAGTGAACAGCGAAGTGCATCTCAGAGCAGTTTAGACAAGTTAGATCAGGAACTTAAGGTAAGTGCTTGCACTAGCATTTGACCCAGTTTCTGAGACTAATCACTTAGCTCTTTGGTCTCAAACTTACTTCTGGGTCCAACCTCTAATTGGGGTTACTATGCCCTTGCTTACTCCTCATCCCCCCTCTCTCTCTTTTAAATCAGTTTTACTGGAGTATATTTTACATACAGTAAAATGTACGCTCTAAATGGATACAGTTCAAAGAGTTTTGACAAAGGTATGCATCTATGTAGCAATCATCACAGTCAAGATATAGAACAGCTTTAACACTGACCTGCTTTAACTGCTAGTTCTTAGTCTACTAATTATTGTTGAAAGGTGGTTATACTTTCAGCCTTCCAAATAATCTGGAAATAAACTTGAAATAGTATTGTCCTTTAGTGTAGTAGCACAGCCATATGGATATTTACACATGCGTCTCATTTTAAACATTCATTTTCCTTACTTTGCCTATGCAGGAGCAGCAGAAGGAGTTAAAAAATCAAGAAGAATTATCCAGTCTAGTCTGGATCTGTACCAGCACTCAGTCAGCTACAAAAGTTATCATTATTGATGCTGTCCAACCAGGCAACATCCTAGATAGTTTCACTGTTTGCAACTCTCATGTTCTGTGTATAGCAAGTGTACCAGGTAAGAGTACCCTGCTCCTCTCTTCCCACCGTCCACAGCTCCTTACTGGCAAGAACCGACTGGTTACTGGAGATAGTTATGTACCACTCTCTCATGGAGTTTATTCTCTAGTTGGTGAAGACCAAAAATAAACTGGAAACAAATGACTAACAAAGATATTTTCAGATACTGTGAAGAAAATAAAACAATGGAAATTTGAGAAGATAAGTGGGTGGCAGAGGGCAAGGGGCTATTTAGATTGAATAGTAAGGGAAGGCCTTCTAAAGTTGTGTATTAAATATTATGTGATGTTAAAACATTGGTTTAAAAATTAAAGGGAATTCCCTGGCGATCCAGTGGTTAGGACTACGTGCTTCCACTGCAGGGGGCATGGGTTCCATCCCTGGTCGGGAAACTAAGATCCCACATGCCACACGGTGCAGCCCCCCAAGAAAAAAAATTAAAGAGGTTGATGTTATGTCTACACAGTGGAATATTATTCAGCCATATAAAGGAATGAGATATTGATACATGCCATAACATGGATTAACCTTGGAAACAACTCAGACACAAATATTGTATGATTCCTCTTACATGAGCTATCTAGACTAGGCAAATTCATAAAGACAGAATTAAATTAGAGATTACCAGTGGTAGGGGCTCAGGGAGCAGAGAGTTATTGTTTAATTGGTACAGATTTTCTATGTGGGGTGACAGAAAAGTTTTGGACATAGCTGTGATGGCTGTACAACATTGTGAATGTAATTAATGCCACTGAATTGTACACTTAAAATGGTCAAAATGGCAAATTTTGTGTAGTATATATGTATATTTTACTACAAAAAATTTTTTGTAATGTGATAGGAATAAAAACAGCTTTCTAAATAAAGAGAACTGAAGAGATTTATTTTTTTATGGTAAATGCTTAGTTTTTAAATGCATTAGTAATATCTTAAGGCACTGTATATACCTAGGCTGTATTAATTTTATTTATTTGTTTGTTTATTTATGGCTGCGTTGGGTCTTCGTTGCTGCACGTGGGCTTTCTCTAGTTGGTGGCAAGCGGGGGGCTACTCTTCGTTGTGGTGCGTGGGCTTCTCGTTGCGGCGGCTTCTCTTGTTACGGAGCACAGACTCTAGGCACCCGGACTTCAGTAGTTGTGGCACTCGGGCTCAGTAGTTGTGGCTCGCAGGCTCTAGAGCACAGGCTCAGTAGTTGTGGCTCACGGACTTAGCTGCTCCATGGCATGTGGGATCTTCCCGGACCAGGGATCGAACCCATGTCCCCTGCATTGGCAGGTGGATTCTTAGCCACTGTGCCACCAGGGAAGTCCTGTGTTAATTTTTAATAGTGGTGGAAGTTCATATTTCAAATAGTAATAGAGATAATTTAAAAAAATTTTTTGCTACCTTGTCAGATATAATTAGATTTCATTGTTTTTGTTTTTGTTTTTTTATTTTATTTATTTATTTATTTGGCTGCGTTGGGTCTTCGTTTCTGCGTGAGGGCTTTCTCCAGTTGTGGCAAGCGGGGGCCACTCTTCATCGTGGTTCGCGGGCCTCTCACTGTCGCGGCCTCTCCTGTTGTGGAGCACAGGCTCCAGATGTGCAGGCTCAGTAGTTGTGGCTCACGGGCCCAGTTGCTCCGCAGCACGTGGGATCCTCCCAAACCAGGGCTCGAACCTGTGTCCCCCGCATTGGCAGGCAGATTCTCAACCACTGCACCACCAGGGAAGCCCTAGATTTCATTGTTTTTAATTTCATTAGGTGGCTGCTTAAGAGCTCAGATATTGAGAACAGAAATGTCATTTCTGACATTTTCAGGTTTACTTGTGCTTGCATTAATAGAAGTATTATCTTAATTTTTTAAGCTACTTTCTCAAATTGTGAATTGAGTTTAAATTAGTTTAAATAAAATTTAGTTACCATCCTGGCAGTGTATTTGAATAGGTCTTTGTCTCACCTGCACTCTTATTTCAAACCTATTGTTGCCTTAATGGAGAAAATGCTATTTATAGGAGTTTACTGAGCTATTAAACGAAGGTTTATCTTGTTTTTCAGGAGCACGAGAAACAGACTACCCCGCAGGAGAAGAGCTTTCAGAATCTGGACAGGTAGACAAAGCATCTTTATGTGGAAGCATGACAAGCAATAGCTCAGCCGAGACAGACAGCCTGTTGGGAGGCATCACGGTGGTTGGTTGTTCTACAGAAGGTGTGACAGCTGCTGCCACTTCCCCTAGTACCAATGGAACATCTCCAGTGATAGAAAAACCACCAGGTATGTCTGTCCTCCTTAGATACCATCTGTATAGAGTCTGAGACTGTCCCAGTTGCCTCATTATGGACTTAACTTAGACCTTAAAGTAACAAGGATGAAAGAGCTTGAAAGAAGATCCAGTGATGCATGTTAAATGAAATCAAGAATCCTCAGCCTTATTATATAGTGTGGAGGAAAAGGGAGTAGCAGAGTGGAATTCTATAGTGGGGGTTTGTGTGGGGGGAAATTATTGGAAGAAAAGCTCAAACTTAGGATCGTTAGCATGTTTTATTTATTTTGTAGAAAAGGAAACAGAAAATAGTGAGGTTGATGAAAATGTTCCAACAGCAGAAGAAGCAACTGAAGCTACAGAAGGCAATGCAGGGTCAGCTGAAGATACCGTGGATATCTCCCAGACTGGCGTGTACACAGAGCATGTTTTTACAGATCCTTTGGGAGTTCAAATCCCAGAAGACCTCTCACCAGTATATCAGTCAAGGTATACAAACGGGTTAACAATTTAGGGAACCAGATAAGTGCACACATAAAAGGAACCAAAATGATTTCAAGCAGTCAAAATATTCCTACTATTTGACATTGTTGTGGCAGATTTAGATGTTATTACTTATTCCAACTATGTCTTCATCTTTTCCTTCCATTGCGTTCTCTCTAGACATATTTTTTCCCCCATTTGTTCTCTATTCCTTCCAACTTAAAAAAATCTTGCTTATAAGGTATATTAGTCAAAATCTTCCCAGTCATTTTCTCTTTTGGTATGATTTTTTGTTAATTGTTGTACTCACTGTCTTCTATTCTGTTAATAACTCTCTGCCATTTTAATCCCTTCTCCTACTCTCATACCCACTCTGTCAGTGAAATTGGCCATTTAAATTTAACTTTCCCATGTGGGTTTCAATGACCTTTTTATTTTTTTTTTGCGGTACGCGAGCCTCTCACTGCTGTGGCCTCTCCTGTTGCGGAGCACAGGCTCCGGACCCGCAGGCTCAGTGGCCATGGCTCACGGGCCCAGCCGCTCCACGACACGCGGGATCCTCCCGGACCAGGGCACGAACCCATGTCCCCTGCATCGGCAGGCGGACTCTCAACCACTGCGCCACCAGGGAAGCCCAGAAAACAATTTGTTTTAGACTCTTCCTTTGAAAATAAGGCCCATTTAGCAAATTCTTTAATTTTCTTTCTTGCCTTCTCTAGGCCTTATAGAAAGCTGATGGGAGTCTATCAAAACTGGAGTCTTTTTTACAATTTAATATTCTTCCTCTTAGTGAATAGAGCAACCAGGTGTCTCTTAACATTTAATTGTTAATTTAAGAATAAAGTTATCTTTTTGGACTTACTGATTTGTTTGTCTTGAATTTGATATCCCAGTTATGTTTTTTTTTTTTTTTTTTTTTCTAAATGTCCTCTGACAGTCCAAAGAATGAAGGTTTGGGGGTAGATTGTATATACAAGCATGTTTCAGCTTATTAATTAATTTTAGCAAATTCTTTATAATTCACCCTCGTGTGTGTGTGTGTATGTGTGTGGTTTTTAAACAAACTATCTCTCCTCTTTCTCTCCCCACAGAAGAAACTCATAAAATTCAAAATAACTGTAAGGGAGAACCTAAACTATAGTCTGGATATTCACTGCTATATTTCATCACTGTGTCTTAACTCTGTTCTCTGTACCTTGAGCTTCCTAGTATCTTGATGTTACTTCTGGAACAATTGCTGAAATATATGTATTTATATTTCTTTCATTTCTTTCTTATCTCTCCCTCCCCCCTGCACCTCATTGCCTTGCCTGTCTTCCTTCCTTCTCTGCTTTCTCCCTCCCTCCTTCCCTCCCTCTCTCTCTCTTCTTCTCTTTCTTTCCTTTCTTTTCTTTCTTTCTTTCTTTCTTTCTCTCTCTCTCTTTTTGAAATGTTTACTATAAGCACTTAACTTCGGCTTTACTGAAATTTAGTGTTCGAGTTTTTGATTTTTTTTTAAACTGTAAACTAAAATATAGAAATGATCAGTCCCTGAAAACTGTAGCTAAACATATTCAGATTTTTTTCCTTTGTCTCACCTTTTCCAGTAATGACTCAGATGCATATAAAGATCAAATATCAGTATTACAAAATGAACAAGACCTGATGAGAGAGGAAGCCCAGAAAATGAGTAGCCTTTTACCAACTATGTGGCTTGGAGCTCAGAATGGCTGGTAGGTACCAGCTCTTTTAATATTAGAAATCTTTAGTCTTTCATTTTTGCTTTTGAAATCAGAAGATAACTAAAATGTGGTACATACAAATATAAACACAAAGTGCTTATTAAAGCAAAGAATTTTATATACACACAATTTTGAGGTCATGTTCCAACTACCTCATAAACTGGACTTTGACTTGCATTGGTTCTGAATGGTAAACCATATGTTTGTCACAGGATGTTCCTTTTATATAATATTCTTGGAAAAAGAGGTAAATAAAACTTTAGAATCTGGGTGATCTAGAAGTAGGAGATCCTGAACAACAAAAGGTTTATATAAGCTAGAGTGTGTTCAGGGAATATCAAGCATTAAACAATCTCTTTGGCTTCAGGAGGACCCAATTGTAAACATAACTTCTAGGAAAACCAGGACAAATCAGAATCTGAAAGCTTAGGAGTTGATAACAAACATTATAGGACTTTGTGGTAGTGTGGGGAGTCTTACAAACTTGTGCTTTTCCTAAGGTTAAACAGGATCACTAGTACATCTTTTCCATAAAGGTCTCATACTACAAAATGAAGGTTCGGCACACTTTTTCTATGAAGGGTCACATAAGAAATATGTTAGGTTTCGTGATCTTTGATAGCCACTTGATCTTTGATGATCTTTGTAGCAACTTCTCAACTATGCTGTTGTGGTGCAAAGGCAGCCACTACATTGAAGTGAACTGGTGTGGCTGTGTTCCAATAATAATAAAACTTATGAACACTGAATTTCATATGTCTCATATGTCATGAAATACTCTCCTTTTGATTTTTTTCCAGCCATTTAAAAACGTAAAGACCGTTTTTAGTTTACAAACTGTACTAAGACAGGTAGATGGCTAGATTTGGCCTATGGGCCTTAGTTTGCCACTCCCTGATACAAACCACTCTGTCATCAGAAAGCTCAGTATAGTAGAAAAGTAAGATTATTTTTTTTTTAAAGGTTTATAGCCAAGGATTCTGAAGTATGGGGTAACCTGAAACTAACTAACCATGCAGTTAGTTCTGGCTTTTCATTCTTTGTATGTTTCTGTTTGCTTAAGCAGCTTATTTCTCTGCTTTAGGCCTACCCTTACTCTCATTATTGTTTTTTCCTAAAATTTTTATGTTACTCTTCTTTCCTTCTGGAAGAACTTTGTGTTCATTATTAGATATAAACAACTACTTGATGTTCCCTATGCCTTACCAGTCTTGATTTTGTTCTTGCAGTTTGTATGTCCATTCATCTGTAGCCCAGTGGAGGAAATGTCTCCATTCTATTAAGCTTAAAGATTCGATTCTCAGTATTGTGTAAGTTTTATTTTAGAAATTCTTCCATTCAAAAATATGTATTTTGGTATAAACTAGATTCTAAGACTATTAAAGTTAACATGTGCTTCATGACTAAATCAGTATCCATATTTCCTTGTAACCCTCTTTATGAGTGAGATTGAAACTCTAACTAGGAAATAAACCGGAGAACTTTAAGTATAAGAGAAAACTTGCCAGGTTGATTCCTCACCATACTGAGAGTTCTTTAGTACTTTGGGGGAGAAAACCAATTAAACCCCGTTAATTTATATTTGTTTTAGAGTATTCTTTATACTTTGTGAATGTGTTGATTGGGGCATTGATTTACTAGTCCTTTTCTGTATGTTGACTATCAAAAGTCAGTTTGTCTGTTAGGTCCACAGAGCTGACTCTGTTAGTTCTACTTGGGGTGTGTGTCTCTGGTCTGTGGACCTTTTGTTGGTAGTCTGTGATGAGAGGAGGAACTTGGGCTGGAAGGTGAAACAACTGAGTCACCACACATGCTTTTTATTTAGTTGAGCTGACATTTTCAGAGCAAGACTTTCTCAGTGAAGAAAAGAATGATGTTCATTTAGGTTCTCGTGTAAGCTCCTAATACATCACAGACTGGTCTTCTGAGAAACTCTGAACTAGCTCAGTAGCATGCAGTGTCTTCCGTATTCCCAGATGGAAAGTTCTAAAATCCCCATTCCTGTTTGCAGACACGTGAAAGGAATTGTGTTAGTGGCCCTGGCTGATGGTACCCTTGCAATCTTTCACAGAGGAGTTGGTGAGTTGTTATGAATATATAACATGTGTGCTAATTTGTTGCTTTGCAAGAGCATTTTCAAGCAGATTGGCTCCTTATGTTTTAAAGAAATCGTACTTAATAGGAGAAAGAATAAAGGTTTAAACTGAATACTAACCGTATATGACATCAGTGAGTATGTGAGTTCTTGGCCTGCAGACATACATTAATAGTATACCTCGGTGAAAACCTGTTTACCATAATGAGCAAATAGTCCTCGTGGTCCTCTTATATAATGTGCAATGGAGGTATTTGTTTTTCACTCACATACTTATTCAGTTAGGAGAAATTTAGTGAGAGGATATGTTTTCTTGCCCAGTATTTTAAAAATAATTTGCAACCACTTACATTTGGAATGTTTTTAAAAAGAATTTTTAATTGCGTAAGGTTTAATCATTTTCATGTTACGTTCTTTATATTCTTCCCCTTTAAACCAGTGTTTCTACCATCTGCACACAGAAGGGTGGTGGTGTCAGAAAACTGCCTTGAGTGAATTAAATGAAGGGAATTGAGTGTGTAACTCCTTGGTACATGTATCAAACAAAAGTGATATTTCATTTCCTACCTACTAGAATGGTAGATCAGGGAAATATTATAAAAACGTAGATCCACTAAATTCAGATTTTCACAAGGCTTTTCCCAAAGTCTCATGTCCTTTGGGGCCTCAAGAAATGTGAGGTAGATGATACGCAGGTGCTAGAGGTTGCTGGTTAATGACACCATAACAAAATTTAGAGGCCTCCGTTTCACCTTGTTCAGGCCCTTTTATAGACTATCTGAGTTTAATCCTCACAGCAACTTAAAGAAGAAAATTCTATTGTCATCCTCACTTTATAGATGAGGAAACTGAGGCACAGAGTATTTTAGTCACTTGTTCATGGTCACTCAACTAGTGAGTAGAAGAACCTAGAAAAAATGGAATAATAAATATTTTGGTAAACTGAATCCAAAATTATATTGAACAAGATAAACAAAATACATTTACTAAGGATACATGTAAAGTCCTACTTTTGGGTTCAGAAGAGTAGATGGAGGAGATATGTCTGAAGAGTGATATCAAACTCAATACGAGTTAACATCCTAAGCCTCATAGAAATTAGAGTCCAGAGCAGGGCTGGTGATAATCCTGCTCCACTCTAGTAGATCGACATTAAATGGATCTGGACAAAGCGGAGTTAGGATGAAGGTTCCATAAACTGTGGTGTGCTTGATTTTGAAAGGAGAAGACAGGGCAGTAGCAATGAAGTGGGACTGGATTTACTCTGTGTTTCCATTAGGCAAAGCTATAGATTAATGAGTGGTTACATACAAGAAGGCAGGCAGACTTTAGCTAGGTATGGGGAATATTTTTTTTTTTTATGGGGAATATTTTTAAGACAATTATAGCTTTCTTACAATGGAACAGCTGCTTTGTGAGGTAGTATGTTTTCTTTCACTGAAATTGTTCAAGCAAAGCAAGCTTACAGTGGTTGGTTCTCCTTTGTATGTATTTCTGTCATCACTAAAATTATAGTATGCATAATTCCTAAAGTGTTAGCAATGCATTGCCCTTGACTTCTACCCAAGAAGATATATCAAAATGCAAGTGAGCGAGAGCAGTATTATCCCCAAAATAACCTTAAATCCATTCTAATTCTTAAAATATTATTATAAACAGGTAACTTATAACGGATTTATCACATCACTGCTGTTGAGAGCATGGGGGTCCAGGTACTGGGTGACAGGTTGAACCACATGACCTTTGAGGTCTCTTCCAACTTTGCAGTTTATAGAACAAAAGAACTCAATCTCTGTAAATATACACTGAATACATGGTATCCGGGGGATGCTTCATCAATAAATTTAATTACACACCCAAATAGAATGTTTCTTGAATTAAAATTGAGTAAAAGGTAGTGTGCATAAACTAATCATCTGTTTCTTATTTTAAAGACGGGCAGTGGGATTTGTCAAACTATCACTTGTTAGATCTTGGACGACCTCACCATTCCATCCGATGCATGACTGTGGTACATGACAAAGTTTGGTGTGGCTATAGGAACAAAATTTATGTGGTTCAGCCAAAGGCCATGAAAATAGAGGCAAGTTAGCCCATGTTTTCTGTACTTAACTGAATTTGTATTACCTGAAGACCCTAAGACTTAATTATTTTCTTCTTTAGAAATTGTTATCTGAATCTGCGTGTTTGGGGTACTCCGGTGATATTTTGGATGAATTCTCAGCTTTCTGTGTTACTTTACTTCTCCTTCTGCTTTTGACTATGAGTAGGGGAAGTGGTTTTTTAAAAAGGAAGGAGGATTCACACGTGGGCGACTAAATGTGTGTCTGAGTATCCGTAGATGCATACATGTATTATTTGAATACATGGCTCTTGAAATGTTTAGTTATGTAGAGGTGGTCTGAGAGCAGGACCCTCAAGTCTCCCCCACTACTCAGTGTGTATCCAGGCAAATCCGTATACGTGTCACAGACTGAGGAATAATATTGCAGTGGGAATTTGTTGTAAAAACAAAAACCTCTTAGCATTAGCATTGTTTTCTTAAAGTTTTACCACAATACATAAATTTATTCTAATTGTTTAAGAAAAGAAAAACAGTAGGGAATTTTTAAGATGAAAGGTCTCTCCCAGTTCTGTCCCAAATCCTGTTCCCAACCCTAGAAGTTCCATTTGGCATTTATTTTTTAGATGTATTCCTTACATGCGGATACCTATACACACACATACAGCATTGTAAGTTCCTTTCTGTTTAATTTTAAGCAGGATCTTATTTTGTGTATTGCTCTGTAACAATACAAAATCCTGAGGTTAAATTCAATCTTTTTGTTGAATGCTGTTACATAGAATGGATGTGTCAGCATTGCTTTCATAAGTTGATATCCTACACAGCGCTGAAATCCAGCATCCTTTAGTGCTTCTTCGTTTTGTTTTGCAGTCCAGGATAATAGCAATTGTGTATATAAGAGTAAACATATTTAGGCTCCTCTTTTAATATATAGTCTGCCAAATGATTGTGCAGATTTGCACAGTTTTTAAACACGAACTCCTACATAATAAAGTAACATTGTGATTGAACGATCTTTTCTAGAAATCATTTGATGCACACCCCAGGAAGGAGAGCCAAGTGCGGCAGCTTGCCTGGGTGGGTGATGGCGTGTGGGTCTCCATTCGTTTGGATTCCACACTCCGTCTCTATCATGCACACACTTATCAACATCTGCAGGATGTGGACATTGAGCCTTATGTAAGCAAAATGCTAGGTAAGCTTCTAAAGCATTTTATCTTTGTCAGTCAAAGAAAATGGTTTCTTTTTAAATGGTCTCAAATGCTGGGTTGAACCAATGAGTAAGTTGCCTCAGGAATAGTGAGCTCTTATCACTGAAAGTGTCAGGCAAATGCTCCTTCTACCCTGTGGTTCTTGACTGAAACTTGGGATCATTTCTGACACCTCTCTTGTTCCCCACATCTAACCCATCAGCA